AGTCTTGGAGTGGATTTGAAATGCCACTTCACTCACAAGAAAGACAGGAAATATGTAGGAAGTAGGGTGGGTCCCTTCAAAAACCAACAGAATGTTTATGGGAGTTTGCCAACTGCGCTTATGAAAGCAAAGCAATGTAAATACTGAGAAATCGCGAAGTAACGTGGCTTTTTGTGTTATATAAATGTGTGATTTGTTATATTTTTATTTCAAACTCATATTTTCAAGAGCAGACTGAAATACTGAGATAAAGACAAGAATATGACCTCTGAAGGCAGCCATGAAATACTTAATCAGGTTCCTGTAATGCAACGTTGAATCAACAGAGAGAAGAAAAAAAATTACCAGCTTAAAGGTTTTATTTATATTTACCCAGAGGATAAATATAAATAAAAAAGGAGGATACTGAAATACCATATTTTCTGTCATAAACAAGATTTTCAGGTGAAAATTCATTTTGATTTACTTTGCATAGACTAGAATTAAGGGCTGGTTTAAAGTATTAAGTAATATTATAACATTAAAACTATCGCTTCCATGTGCCTTTAGACTTTTGTCCCACTAAAACATTTACAGTGTAAACAAACGTAAATGAAATGTTATGTACAAAATTAGTCAGTATATATTGTATGTGCAATCAGGTATAGGGAGTGTGCATGTCACATCAGCATGGACCAAAGTGTCTGAGGAATGTTTCAAGGTCCTCTAGAATCTATGCCATGAAGAATTAAGGCGGTTCTGGGGGTCATCTGGTACTAGCAGGGTGTACCTAATAAAGTGGCCTGTGATTACGCTGTGCCTTACAGTGCCAGGGGCACCCGCCATCATCCCTGGCTGAAGCTGACCACAGAGCTGTCTCTCTGGCTGAAGCTGACCACAGAACTGCCCCTCTGGCCTGCTAATAACATGCAACTTCTTAATTCATGTCAGGAACATTAGTGTTTGCACTTGGTGCGCAGGCACTACTTGTGCGCTCATTGTGTGACTCCATTCATTCTTTCATACTAGGTCACATGCCCTTTAAAAAACATGGTTCCAGCCTAAGGATCATATTGGCTTACACAAGCTACCTACTGACGATAGCGAGTAAAGTCATGCAGACCCTGCTAAGAGAGAGGCTACATTCATATTAGTATGATTCTGTCAAAAGGAAGCATATCCTTATTGGGGAAATGGAGTTGGCGAACCTAGCTGCGTGTACTGGCTTTGTATTCAGACCAAAAACAGGCCCAGGTTCAATTCTGTAAGTTAAAGGTATAGACAACAGCAATCAGGGTTATCTGTGTTTTACTTCTCAAAATCATTGATTCTGCTCATGGACAGCTGGATATTCTGCACCATGTATTCAGGCTATGTATTTTTAGTTATGAGTCTTAGCTACCTGTTGCCCTAAATTACCAATAATGTAATAATGGCATTTGCTTGTTGTATTCTATGCCCAATGCTTCTTTAAGGTTTACAATAAGATAAGGACTGAAATGCATTCACAGCATGTCTTAAAAAATGCTAAGTGGAAAAATTCAAACAAAAATGAAAAAGGCAGCAAGGAAAAAAATACCTTTTCAGTACAATGGGAAGCCTGTTTTAGTCTGAGAATAAAGGACATGAGTATCTAAGCTGCAGCTCCACTTCTAAGTGTATTCGTTTGAAGCAGGCAGTAAGCTCGGTTTTGAAGTCTGATTAAAATTTTGATTGCTATACCTGAATGTGGTTTAGTTAAATAAAGGCCATGCTACCGTTCCTGCTGACTGTCTGCCCACTGAGACCTGTCTCTCTGTGACAAGGGAACAGATGGACTTTGTCATCCAGGCTTGGATTTTTTAAGTTTAAAAGCGCCTGGACCAAACTCCCTCGTAGCTGAGCCGAGGTATTTTAACAAAAGAGCATGAATGCCTTAAGACCGACAGGATTAATTTCTGATAAGTGCCTATGATCTGCATACGGTGATCACATAAATGTCATGTTTTAGATGTGCCGTTCACCTGTACTTAAGCTTCCAAAGGTGGCATTTCCTTCATGATGAAGGATTGTGAAATATGAGGGGTCTTCATTGTATTGACAGCTGATTATGCCAAATGAGGCCAGTGCATGCATTTTTAATTCTTCCATAAAAGGATATTTTTAAGAGCCTCTGTGGTAATGATATTTTATGTTGAATTCACTTTGTTTTTAATTTAATCACTTAAGTACAGATGTGAGTCCATATCTCCTGATACTGCACATGGATGATCACGACTAATCAGGTTTTTTAATGTCAGTGTTTGAGGTTTCCATAACATAGCTTTGGAATCCAATACATGAGATGTTACTAGAGGTTTCTTAACATTAATTCCACTGATTAACCAGGCAGTGAATTTTACTAGGTGTAATGATGGATATTCCATTAAATGTGCTACAGAAGCCTGAGAAGCAAACTTTCATTTGGGCACACTAATGTTTTGCATCCATTGGGGTTATATCTCTGATGTTAAATCCTCGTAACATGTAATTAAATGCTGATTTGTGGATTGTGTTTTCCCTGGACAACTAAAGCTTTAATTAAAAACCTCTTTGTTTGCATTCCGGTTCCTTCAAGGGTAAAACAGTCTTTCAGGAAGATATGGAAGGTAGTAAAGATACTAGGGCCTCAATCTAGTTATATTGCTTTTTACTTACTATAGTGCTTTTACAGTAAAGGAACAGTCCTCGCTTGGGTAAAACACAGATACTAATTTTACAGCTAGTGTGAGGAAAGATGCTGTCATTAATGATGTGTCACAATGAAGCAGATTGTATAATCATTTTATTTCCTTTATATTGTTTTATTTCCTCACATTCTTTTCTCTAGCACAAAGGATGATACATAAAAAATGCAGAGTACCAATATTAAGTAGTAATGAAATGCTTGGTAAATCTTAGTTCAATAAAAAATTTTGTGCGTACTGAGTTAAACAGGTTCTGCAAGGATTGCCATGAAATGACGAAGGTAACATTTTCAGCCTGTGTTTCCTGCATAATGTGCTATTGTCATTATTAAAAATCCTGATTATTTGTGTTGGAAAAGCAACAATGCCAGCACTTAGCAGCATAGTTGGCAACGTGAAAATCTTTCACGTGAGTGTTATGGTGGCTTTCTGCGTAGTACTGTTACCTCAAACCCCCAGAGTTCATGTCTCACTTTTGCTGCATCTGTTTGGAGATGTTCTGCTTTCTGCTCAGTCGAAGACCATGCAGTTTGGTTAATCGGCATCTCTCAATTGCCCCCGGTGTGTATGGATGTGTGTAAGCGCTGGTATGCGCCTGTGATGGATAGGTATTCTGTCCAGGGTGTTCCTCTGCCTTCTGTCTTATATTGACTGGGACAGGCTCCAGGTTCCTCCTGACATTGTCCAGGGTAAGTAGGCAGCGTTTAAAAAACAATTTACTTAGAGAAATTAATTTTCAACTTGGAGTCATTTATTTTTCTCATTTTTGTTCATTCTTAGTAATTTTGTATGTATTGTAAACCGGTTGTTGACAATACATACAAAAATAGGTTTGAAATTGGTGAAAATCGCAATCACCAGTTTTACGTACAGTGTTCAAAATTGGATATTGATGTTAAGGAAAAATTGAATTGTTTTGTGTTTTTACCAATGGAAATGAACTGCCACACACAGCCTAGTTGAGCAAACAGGGTGAGTACTTCACTATAACACGATATTAATCTAAACAAGAACTCCACCCCCATATTCAGCTGATGAGAAGATTGCCTGGTTATCTCCCCTACCTCCTGCTAGCCTCATCAGGCAGTACCCTGCTGTTTCCAAATGAAGCGTGTGATTCAGGTGCTGCACGTTCTCTTGCAGTTTGCATGAGGCTGCGGACTGGCAGAGAATAAGCAGACGAGGTTCTCTTCGGCGGCTGTGTGGAAAGGGGAGTGTGTGTCAGTGTGTCCGTTACTCCTGCGGAGGCTGATTCCTCACGCCACTCTTCCGTAACCGCCGTCCGCCCTGGCAGCTCACCTTGGCACGCCGGTGGGCGGATTCTGATGTAGTACAGGCTCAGCGCACTAATGAACAACCATAAGATGAGCTGAGACGGGGCTGCCGCTGTGTCCGTCAGCTCTGCGGCTGGCACAGAGCGTAGAGCGAGGCACTTTACACGGCCGGGCAGGCCGCGTGGACCTCTTATCAGGCGGCACACAGCGTGTCTTCATGTCATGGCTATCAAGCATGACACCCGACACCTGAATGTTCACCTGGTAATTTGACACCTGCTGCTATGACAGTGCCGGCAGATGGTCGCAGGGTACATTAATGTGTTGATGAATGGTGCCCCTTCCAAAACTCAGTGTACTGCCCATACCTCTGGCTATTCAAGATCATTTATATCGATCATATTTAAAAATCAAAAATCTACTTTCAGTGGGGTGTTTCAAAGGTCATACAACCTGGGTTATTTCACAGCTTATATTTATATATAAATTTAAATGTATATATTATTGTGTGTGTGTATGTGTGGGTATATATATGTGCAGCGGTAATGCATTAGATGTGTTTAGGCCGAGAGCTGTTCACCAAGGAACATTTCTGCATTCATCATGCATTACCGCTGAATATGGTGGTACATTTCATATTCCATAGTACTCATTATCATCCAAATTATCCATGCAGTGAAGGGCTGTTCGGCTGGGCGTATAATGAGCCTGACATCCCCATGACCGTAGCATATGATTCTGTGTTAACTCCAGACTTCGGCAGATCAATATGCCCTATAAAGTATGAGGAACAAGGGGAAAAGATTCCACCACGTTTAATGAAAAGACATTACTGAGCTCCCAGGAATTGTGCAGGCCGACCACCAAAAAAAACTGTTGACAAATTAGTTTTGAAATCCCAGGCAAAAGGTTATTGAATCTTTATTTGGAGTGAGAGTGCACAAGCAGGAGCTGAGATGGTGAGGGGCCAGATGGTGTCCTAGCGGATGTGTCTGGCCGTTTCAGATGAGTAACTTCTTTTTTTGATGCTTCTTTCTTACAGGGACGTATGGGCCTGACAGCTGGGCCTCTGCATACCCAGAATGCCGAGGGAGGAATCAGTCTCCCATCAACATCAATGATGGGGATGCACAGGTTTCCATAACATATCAAGAACTCACGCTGGATGGGTTTCAAATTGAATCATCCAACAAAACCTCCATGAAAAACACAGGAAAAACCGGTGAGATGTATCGCCATGACAACATAAAAAGCTACAGATAATAATTCAACTCAGGCAACTATTCTATCTTTCTGTTTTTTACAAAATAAACATTCTTTTTTAAAATGCTCCAAAACACCACTTTGTATTGAGTTTGTAGTGCATTAGTAATAATCTATTGATCTGCCTTTCAGAAAAATAATAATAGTTGTGTTAGTTGCATTGAGTAATTTGCCTAATTGTAGGTAGACCTGTGAAATAAGGACTTCATGTGTACAGTGTTTATACAAATTGGATGCCATGTAACTCTCAGGGTATCCAAAGGGATGCGAGGTAATTGAAATTTATTTGCATTCATTCATTAATTGTTTATTATTCATTCATTTTGGACTGCCAAGCCACGTATACTCCTCTCGCCATTTTCAAATCTGATATCCACATTTAACAAGTAATTTAAATATTATAAAGGTGTATCCTCTGATGCTTTCTCGAACATGACATTTCTTGGCAATCTCTTCTCCTGACAAACATAGCGTTTAAGCAAATTCTTATGAAGGGAAAAAAAAAAATGCATTTACTGAGGGTTTATTTTCATAGGGGCTGCTGTTTTTCTAGGTTTCTGCTCAAGTCTTCTTGGCTAAGCTTCTAATTCCTGCTCTCCTGTTCGCTTAGCGAGACACAGGCTAGCATCACTAATGAAACTCCCAGGGCCAGACTGTATCAGGTGCAGGATTACCTCTCCACGTCGGCACAAATAGACGGGACCACCGATTAATGCGAGGGGCCTGTGTTCATGGGGCTGCTTCTGTGGGCTGAAATGAGCCTCGTTGGGAAGCTGCACCACTGATAGCGGTGGCAGTTCAACCTGCCTCTTGCATCCTGCTTCCGTGGCAACCAGAGAAGCTTAGCTGCGGATCTCTCCCCTCCATATGCTACACACTGTGTACTGTTTTTCGCTACCCGTCACCGTGGATAAACCTAATTTTTACTCTTCTGCTTGAGAGTGGTGGTTCATGGTCTTTTCTGCTTATGGTTCTTTGGTTCCTCCTGCTTTCTCTGATCGTGCTTAGAGGAAAGCTTACTCCAGCGTCATTCTCCCCTCATTGTTAAGGGGGAATCCGATGCTGACCGGGCGACTGCTCGCTGGAATTTCAGCAGTCACAACCTTGAGGCCAACTTCATGCAGGCCATGAAAAATTAAACGGGTGCCACTTTATCTCAACCTTTTCAACAAGAGTCATTATATCCGAAAATAACTGGAAATTTGAAAACAAGGAAACAATTTCTAAAGCAGAGATGGAAAAACACATTTACATTTAATTCTTACTATTAATACAGATTTTTATGGATGACATTGCAGCACGACCCCTAAGATGTCATTCTATTCCCATGATAGAACCAATTTGTTTTTAAACCACAAAATCACATTCCCAGTATAGTAATTTCTCTTTAGTGTCATTGCATCCCTTTGCACAATAACTAGGGTTTTCCCTAAAGATTTTTCTTTTATCTTTCATAAATTGAAGTTGACATCGAATATATTCTAGAGACTATGTCTTCAATTAAGTCATGTCATATTTTTCTAATAAATCATTTCAGTGTTCCTATGGTGAGGGATACTGTTTTGGCAGATGTATGTAGCTTAACTTTTTAATATATTGCAGAAGTTGACGTCTTTATATGTTTTTGAAGAAGGCTTCAATACAAAGGACATCATAAATGGACTTAAAGGACTACTTGGCCATGAATGACTGATGAATTTATTGTAGTAAGTATAGGTCAGTTTAGTTCAAAAGTATACTAGAGAACTTGATTACTACGAGTGCTTACTGAATACAGAAAGAGAACAAATCATATTACTCTTATCCAAAATTTAGTTGTGGAAATAAATAATTTTTACATTGATTTAAGGAAATTAGCACACGTTTTGGGAACAGGGCGCAGGGCCACAGAGCAGGGCCAGCCAACATCCAGCATCCCTGGAGCGGCTGAGGTAAAGGCCTTGCTCAAGGGCCCAGTGGTGGTAAGGTTTCTCTGCCAGCCTCAGGAATCGATCCCTTGACCTTCCAGAGTGGGGGGGAGAGCCCTCATGTACCTGTATGACGCTACCTGCTACCAGTACAAAATCAGGGGTTTCTCTAAACATGGTTTAAGAACTCTAAAAAAACTTTTTTTTTTCCAATATATTTTGAAGAAGAAAAAAAACTAAAAGAAAACATCAAGAATCCATTTTAAATGGTGGAGGAGACAGCTTTCAAGATGCAACTTCGGGTGTAACTTTGAAAAGAGTGAATGCGCTGGAGGCAGGTGATACGTACGTGTTTGTTTGCGTTTGGTCTCTCAGCGGTATGCTGTTGTCTGTTCCGGGGGTCCAAGCCAGCTCATTCTGTTTCTTTCAGTGGCCATCCTGCTGAGGGACGATTACTTCGTCAGAGGTGCAGGGCTGCCAGGCCGCTTCAAAGCAGAGAAGGTGGAGTTCCACTGGGGTCAGAGCGGGTCAGCTGGCTCCGAACACAGTATCAACAACAGGAGATTCCCAGTGGAGGTGAGTGGGGAGGATTGGGGTCATGAATGAAGCACAGGGTACTCTATCTTTTAAATTAAATTTACCAGTTATTTTTCATATCAAATCCATTTTTATTCCTGTATGGATTTCCTCTATTTACTCCCCACTATATCTTTCTTAAATTCACCTTGGAAAGCTGCTCTGCTGTGATTTGCACTCATAAAATCTTTTATATTTGGTATGAAATAAACACACTGTAAAATGGAATTCTATAACCGTGTATTATTCAGTTATACATAGGGAAAGTTATCTTAAACAGGTAACTTCATCAAATGCAACCTTTTGCCAGTTTTTAATTGCTGAATCACTTCAATGACCACTCTATAAGGACCACTGACCTTTAGAAAGTATAGTTTTGTAATGACACCTTTTTTCTGACACAGTATTAAGTGTAATCAGAGGATTTTAGCTATAAGCATGAGTCTGCAGAGGCCTCCTCATTTGTAATTTTTTTGTTAACAGCTGGAAAATAAACACAATACACAAGGATCATTTCAACATGCAGTATTTGCTGCATAAATTGTTGAAAATCTAGATTTAATTGCATTGCATTTCCAGATACAGTAACAAAAAATATATTGCATAAATTAATCATCCTCGTCTCCTGTGCTGGAGATGCAAATGCTTTGATTTTCCTGGAGTCCAGATATTCTCTTTTGGGAGCAAAGCAGGTTCCTGCACTGTTAGAAAAGATGGTTCTATATGGCACTCTTAGGGGTTCTATAACTTGCTTCATATATGGAACTCAAGATGGTTCCAAATGGAACCTTTTCTGGGAGGCACCTTTAAAGAACCATAGCAATTCTTTTACTAATGTTTTGTCAATGTTCTATATAGTACCTCAAGGTGCTGTCTTTATAAGCAAAATATGTTATTATGTTTAATTCATAATTTAAGAAATACAATCATAATTTAGTGAAACATTTAATGTATTTGGTGTATATATTTGTATATATTTATATGATCATTTACCATTGAAAATGTTATGGTATACTTCCATGCATTATGAAGGTGCGCTGAATGTTCTACAAATGCATTAAAAAGACATTATGAAAGTTCAGTTAATGTAATGTAAAGTGTTAACCACCTAGTAATTACAACACTTATCATAAATCCAGAATTTGTGTAATGCCACATGCAAACACAAAGTTGTATAAAAGCTGTTAAACATCTTTCAAGCTCAGTGTGCAATCAGTATCATCTGACATATAACTGTCTGCAACTTACAGTCAAAAAAAAACTTTGGTTTACTTGGGTATCTGCCAATAACTCCTCAATACTCCAGAACGTTAAATATATACAGATACTGAACATATTGACCTATGTTATACAACAGAATGTTTATTAATTTATCATACTTGCTTTAGATTGACAATCAAACATATTTTTTTCACAATAGTTCTGCTATAAAACGCAGTCAAAGCCCCATCAGACCATACATCACATACTGTAGTACTTAGCGGGGAAAAAATCTTCTAACTTGGTCAATGCAGCACATGTGTGAGACTCTCTCTTTGAATAGCTGAGGCACAGCACGTTCCCTGCACATTTCTCCCAGTCTAAAGAAATACAGAGAACTGAAAGAAAATCACAAACACTTTACTTGAGGGGGTACAAATAATGTAATAGTACACTCTTACTTAATGTATTAATTAACCAGAAACTAAGTGTTAGTTACATAGTGATGTCATGTTTGTTCAACATTAATCATAACAGTCCATGTATTCCGTGCAGTTACTATATTTGTTGATGATTTGTACTTTAGTAGTATCTGAGTCAATACTGTAAGTTACTTGTGCCCCTTGAGTAAAGAGTTACTCTTTAATGGCTTTGGTATGTGGTGTGTAGTCCTTCTCTGCTGCACATCTCTCTTTATGCATCTGGAGAAGGCGAGCTGTCTGACCTGGCGCTGTGTGGTCACCAAGTCGCATTTTATAAATAAAGCTGCCATATAAAATGCTGCAAAGTACCATCTGCTATTTTTTATTTGGGAAACGTCTTCGCTGAGAAGTGAATTTCACCAGAAGTGTTAAAACAAGCAGTCAAGCTGACAAGCGGCAGACGTGCTGATGAGCATTAGTTAGCTACAAATTTAGCTGCAGAAATTACGGTTTGTATTAGCTATCTAGTTAGCGACAATGTTTAAACATTGTATCTGGTGTGTTGTTTTCCAGACTTGATACTAAGAACAGTTGGCTGCCAGGTATGACTTTATGTTTTTTGCGAACTTCGCTTTCAACTTGAAACTTTTTTTTACATTTTTGTTCACTTTTTAGAAGAATACCTATTGATATATGACTAATTCCCATGAAGTATAAACCAAACACTGTTACAGTGTCATCCATTACGGGAAGGTAATTTTAAACTGTCCTGCGACACTGTTCCATTCATTTAAAGGTGTGTTTATTGAACCTTTTTACTGAAATGGTTCCCAATGAAAAAGTTTTGAATTCAAAGGTGTCGAATAACATCAGAGGGTGCTATAAGGCTCCCTACAGTGCTATGAGGAACCCTAAGTATTAAAACAGGGCCATTAAAGCTTTCCATTTTTAACAGTGTATAAACCCTTAGACAGGCAAACCAAACAATATTTTGACACCAAACTGGATGTTATCAGTTATTGTATAGAAACGAAAGAGTAATGAGATCTTGAGTGTCTCTGTTATGCAGCCATTGTGAATGTAGCAAAGCTAATAAAGGGATTTGCAAAGCATAACCAAAATACATAGCCCCCGTAAGCCCCCCGAGCCTCTGCCCTGTGACTCGTTAATTTTGTCTCGTCATGGCTCCTGAACTAATACGACACCCCTTTGGGCTCTGTTAGCAGGTACTGCTTCATTAGCACTTCCCTTACAGGTTACAGGCATCGTGAGACAGGCCCCTGGGTGTGAGAGCAGTAGCTAACGCGCTTTGCGTTTTTGTGTATCTCGCAATGGGACATGTGAGACGATAAGGAGCAGCTGAGTGGAGGAACCTCCTGCACTGCTCTGCTCTCTCTGTGGCCACAGGAGTAACAGTGGTTTTGGAGGTACTACGGTGTGATGATCACAAGAGAGGCTAAGCAGCATAGGTGGGTTCAGGGTGCTCCTGGCGGCGATTTCTGCGCGCTAGTGGAGGATGTGGATCACAGAAGCACTTTCAATAAAGAGGGTCTTAGTTATGCTTACATTCCCATTTACAGCATTTAGCAGACGCTCTTTTCCAGAGCGACTTACAACCAGTGCTTTGTCGTCCATGACTGTTCTTCGATCTATAAGCTAGACCTAAAATCAACAACTGTCATCAAGATCAAGTTACCGCTAAGTATGTTGTATAAAAAACCTTGTTAGGAAAAAACCGTGCACAGGCAATCATTGTTAGTGGAATCTTCATACTCATTTCAATGAGCAAAATGTTTCACCAAGCAGACCTCAGGTATCTAAGACAAACAAGAGACTGGAACCGACATAGTTACTTTTTTATTAGTGCCATTACGTAAATGTTACAAGCGCTTAGTACATTGTGGTGCAGTGGTTTATGCTGTTGCCTTATAACGTGAAAGTTGCTGGTTCGATCCCCATAGCCAAGGGGAAACCTTCTGCGTTGAGTTTACGTGTCATTATTACTGTATAATGTTATTTGATCACCGTAAAATACTTTCAATCACATCCGTGTGAAATGTTCTGCACAAATAACCGTATCTTGTCTTTGCTATTTTAGTAATAAACTTTCAAAGTAGACAGTGACTAAACAAAATATAAAAATATCTTCCTGTTCATATTATTTTAACAGATTTTTTTCCCCAATTTCAGTCATTGCATTTCATGTTTGACCTTTGTAATACAGTATGCGTACGCTTTTATTTTACAGTAAAATACCATTATAACGGACTTCAAGGGACCTGGCAAGTTTGTTATATCCAGATTTGCTGTATGCCCAGAACACAACTACAGGACATCGTTTATTTATGCCACACCTCAGCAGACACACTTGTGGTATAGATTATTATATTGTACATGTAGTAATCCAACTTTACCTGACCAGATGGGTGACTAATAATAATCCCGACTATGTATCTGCGCTGGATATCACCGGCACGCCACGCACCTTGTAGGCGGAGCCTGCATGTCCGTTATAGCCGAACAAAACTACAGCTAAAAGCGGCCCTGGGGACCAAACTGTTTGTCCATTATAGGCGAAATTCCGTTATATGCGAGTCCACTATAATGGGATTTTACTGTAATTATTTTGGAATTAATTGGAATGCTAAGACGTGCTTTCACTCACAGCACTCACTGCAGGATTCCATTTTTAAATATACGTTTAAACAAGAGTCACTCTCCCGCTAACTCAAACAAAATCATGTCATTTTGGTACACCTTACAGATTAACAACATAATTCAATCAGATAATGCAAAATATTATGTCAGATGAGGACACATAATTCAACAGATTACATGACATGAGTAGTAAGATCGCGGAATTTCGTCCGACGAAACGAACTTTTGGGAATCTGTTCCCACACGTCGGACGTGGTCCGGAGCAGACTTGTTCACTCACCTAAGTTACCATGGTAGCTCAGCGGGGATTCATTTAAGACACGTTGATGGAACGGAATTTGCACTTAAATGAGCCAGACTTGTCGAAATGAGTCAGACTTTCCCTTAATCCTGCTTCGTGGAATACCCCCCAAGTTTCAGTTCTAAATTGCCCCCCAGCAAACCAAATAGCTGTAGTAGGCTAAATACATTGAATAGAAATAATAATTGATAATACATCGCAGGCCTTGATGTTTGTTATGGATGAAATGTGGCCCTCTGTCCCTTGGAAGCTGAGTACCTCAGCCCTAATGATGTATTACAAAACTTCTAATGAACCAAGTGTTGCCAGTTTATCTGTTGCATTGTCAGACACTCCAGTACATTCTCTCCGATCAAGAGCAGATGAGCTGGTTTTGTGCTCGTCGTAATGAGGAGCTGTCAAAATTAGGAGCATCACTT